AATAAATCATGAATTCAAATAAAAAAAGTTTGTCAAATTTTATTTAGTTACAGTGCGCGACACTTAAAGGCTACATTTGTCCCATTTTTAAAATTTAAAATTTTAACACTTTAATTTATTTAAAATGTTGATTTTTGATGTTTTTAAAGTTACTTAATTTTGATTGGTCAAATTTCTTGAATTTTGATTGGTTAAAATTTTTTTAAAATTTTTATCATATAAATTTAAGCTAATTTAATTGGTTATTTTTTTCAATGTGACCCATTTTTAACTTTTTTCATATGTGATCATATAAAAATACTATATTTTTAAAGCTATATATTTTAAAAAATTATTATAATTTTTTAAAAAATAAGCCACTAAGTTGTAGCAAATTGATTAAGTTACAAAATAGTGTCTTCCTTTTAAAATTATCCTTTTTAGATCAAAAGTTATTGGCTTTTAAAGTTTGTGTAGTCTTTAAGTGTCGCGCACTGTATCAAAAATTTTTACCGTTTATTAACATAAGCAGCAAAAGTTTCATGAATTCGATCGAATGTATCTTGCAACCACCTGATGAAATTTGATAAACTTTTTAATTGAATTCTGTTAATATATAAAATTCAATTGAAAATGTTCATTGAATTTCATCAGGTGGTTATCGAGATATCTTCGATAAAAGTTTTAGAAATTATTTTTAACCATATATCAAAACGTATGTTGTGGGATTTTTCGAGACTCTGATCGAAGATCTCTTGATAACTCCTGATGAAATTCGACGAGTTTCCTTTATTTAAATTCTATGGATTCTTAGACTTAACTAAAAAAGTTTACAAGTGGTCATCGAGATGTTTTCAAAGTTTTAAAAATGAGTAATCTAGGTGGGCATGTAAATAAAAAAAGATATCAGTTCCTTTATTTTAAGGGTAAATTTTGTATATAAAGGTTCTACCACAAAATCTCGAAAGTTATTTACCCGAAAGAACATAATACCGATTAAATTGATCAGCATTATAACTAATACCGGCTAACTTGCTGGTATTAGATTTTTCCATCTTTCAGAATTTTGTGGTAAAACCGCGTATAATTATTTAATATAGCAGGGGTGGATATTCTTATTTTTCGCATGCCAAATCTCACTAGCCAAACTTGTGTAACGATCGAATGTAACCAAAAGGATACTTGTCTTAGTAAAAATTTTGAGATATCATAAAAAATCAAAGAAAAAAAAATTAATTTGTAAATACGTATCTCGAAATTTATTAAAACAATTACCTTTTAGCTTCTAACCAATCACAATCGAGATGCGATATGCTAGATCATGGGATGAGGCATACATTTTTTCCTAATTTTAATATAAACAAGTATGTTAGACTCGTCGTTTAACGACGGGCTATACAGGAAAAATGTATGTAAATATGTACGCAAATATGATTCAATTATTTTAATATATAGAGATTAACCGAGTTACACATATAACCAAAATACTGTAGCGCGTAAGTAAAGCAATGAAATTTCTTATAGTTAATCAGAAAATTACGAACAATTTAACCAAACCACATGTGTGACATAATAGCCAGTAAGTACATTAATGGGCGGTAAATCAGATCACAATAGTTCTAATACAGTAATTCAAATAAAATTAATCAAACTACATGTCTTCACAGTAGAAAGTAAGTACTAAAGTACAATAATAGAAATTTTCGAATCATCAGAATTCTCTAACATAATTCTGATGCAAATTATCCAAACCACATATTTCATTACAATAGCGAGTAAGTACTATAACAGAATTTTAGCAGAAAGTCAAAATCTTCATAATTCAAATATAAAAACGACAATTAACCAACCCACTTTTGTCGCTACAATAGAGTGTAAGTACAGTAACAGAGTTTTTATAGCAAGCTGAACTATCTAAACCTAATATAATAATTTTAATATGTATTATCAAACTACATCGTATACTGTATTATTGTAATAGTTTGTAAGTACAATAACAAATTTTGCAGTAATCAGATTCTAACATAAATTAACCAAACTACATAATGCCACTATAGAGCGTAAGTGCAATACTGTAACAGAATTTTTCACTGTAAATTATAATCACTACACAAATTAACCAAACTACATATTCATTTATATTCATTGCAAATAGCAAGTACAGTAACAATATTTTAAGTATATCAGAAATTATGCAATAATTTTAGCACAAGCTAACAAAATTCATACGTGTTGTTACGATAGTTTGTAAGTAGTAATAGGATCCTACATATATTACTATAATACAAATATAATAATGATACAATCATTCTATATTATGAAAGTTTGTAAGTACAAGAACCAGAATTTTTTACAGTAAACATGAAGTTTAATAAATTATTTCTGATACAAAATTAACAAAAATTAAATGATATCACAATAGCCAGTAAGTATAGTAGCTGAATTTTTTTACGCAAATCAGAATTTGATAAATCTAATACAACATTTTTAATGATATGAACCACATTATAATAGAGTGTAAGTTTTAAAATAGAATTTTTTATAATAAATCAATAATTTAAATACAACAATTCTATTAAAATTAATAAATCATATATCACTATAGTCTGTAAGTAAAATAATAGAGCTTTTAATAGATTAAAAATCGATAAAATTAACAAAACCAAACTACATATATTACTAAAATAGTTTGTAAGTACAATGCATAAGTTTTTTTTTTTACAGTAGATCAAAAATTACAATGCAATAAACTAAACCCATATGTTATTATAGAAGGTAAGAGCAATAACAGAATTTTTTACAGTAAATCAAATTGTGGCCATTATACAAAATTTTAATAAAACCGCGTATATAATATAGGAAGTAAGTACGATAAAAGTAAATTAGAAATCATTATAATTATAATGCGATAAATTTAACCAAACTACATAATTTAACTATAGAAAGTAAGTGCAATAACAAAATTTTACAATAAATCAGAAATCATAATACAAACCAACTAAACTGCACAATAGGCGGTAAGAAAATAATAATTCCAATACAATCAAAACCAATAATTAAAATAAAATTAATAAATCTCATATGCAACTATAGTGAGTAAGTAAATTACAGAATATTTTATACTACTTAAATAAAGTAAAATTGCAATACAAATTAAAAAAACCACATAATGCACTGTAGTAAGTATGTACAGTAACAGAATTTTTTAAATAAATCAAAAATTAATAATGCCAATGCAACATTCCCAATGGATACTATAGGAAGTAAGTACAATAATGGAATCTTTGACAATAAATCAGGAATCATAATAATTCTAACAAAGCTACCAAACTACATAATGTTATTAAAGCAAGTAAGTACAATAACTGAATTTTTTGCAGTGAATTAAAAGTCACAATATAATAATGATAATTCCAATACAAATTAACAAACCATATATTTCACTACAATAGCGAGTAAGTACAGTTGTATGATTTTACAGTAAATCAAAATCTACGATAATCATAATACAATGATATTATTTTCAATACAAAATATTAAAGACCGTAAGTACATTAACAGAATTTTTGCATAATCAAATGTAACGATAATTACAATAAGGCCCTATAAAAAGTTTATTCTTATTCAAAAATATTTGGAATAGAGTCGCTATAGGTATAAAAGTAGGACAAAATCAATATATGGGTTAGTGTTTCGGGTGAATCCAAATTATTTTGCCCAGACGAAATTATTTTACGCTGCAAAATGTTCTCTGACTTCAAAAGTGCAGTTTAACCGAAATTATTTCTTATTGGCGAAATATTTTGGATTTTAGAAATTAATTTAGCCCGAAATGGTCTTTGCCTAGAAAATCACGTTATGGGTCATATGTGGTCTTTGCCTTGAAAATGACCTTACGGTACATGATGCCGTAAGGTCATTTTCAAGGCAAAGACCCCATATGTTCTAAAGCGTAATTTTCAAGGCAAAAACCCTATATCCTTTTTATTAAACTGTACGCATTTTATTCCGTTTTATACCTATAATGACCTCATTCTGAACATTTTTTGAATGATATCGACAAAGTTACACAAAACCAGACTTTTTTATATTGCAATATTTATAATACAAATTAACCAAATCACACATGTCGCTATAGCGAGTAAGTACAGTAAATCAAAAATAACGATAATTGCAGTATAATTAATATAATTGCCTCTGAATTATTATTATATTTTAACTTATGATAGACGGTATTTATTGATTATTTTTAAATACCAGCTCTTAATGAATATTATTGTACGTATATTAATGCCTATTATAATTTGGTTCAATAATTTAAGATTTAGAGAAGAGTTTCATAACTGGACAAGTGGCAATCAAGATATTGACAAATTTATTCAACAAACTCAACTCAATGCAAAGATATTTAAAGATATTATTGAATGGATACCTTTCAGTAAATTCGTCGGAGTAAAATATCTTGTTAAGGGGAGTTTTTGCACAATTTTTAAAGCAGTATGGATTGATGGATATATTGCGGATTTGAAAAATGAATGGGAAAGAGAGTCACAACTAAATGTTTATTTAAAAAGTTTTGATAATTCAAAAGATATAAAGCATGAATTTTTGAAAGAGGTATGTATTATATAATATATTATTGCTAAAATATTGTAGCTTATTTATTCCAATTATATTTTAGGTTGAATTATCAACTGGAGTTTATGGAATAACTAAGAACCCAAAAAATGATAATTATATGATAGTTGTGGAGCAAAGAAATATTAAAGAAATTTTAAATAGCAAATCTAGTGACTTAGATAGTATTTCTAAAACGGTACAACTTGACTATCAGACACAAAATGAAGATTCAGGTAAGAATGTTCTTTCAAAACATTAGCCTTAGATAGTGATGGGCACCGCGCAGAATATATTGTATAATTCGGCAGTGTCAAAAATCTGGCTGTATTCCAAAATATTCCGAGGTTGAGGCAAAAATTTGACCATTTCCGAAAATTCCGAAGAGTTGTTATTTAGCGCATATGCGTAGTAACGCACCACTTGATCGACCAATCAGAATATAAAATCAGGTGTAACGTGAAATCGAAAAAAATAGCGATGTTTTAAAAGAATTGCTTGTAGCTCATAATTTTCTTATGAAACCCTCTTCGTGCTTTAACAAAAAAAAATTCTTTGCAAAATTTTGGGTTAGAACCTTTTGCCAAAGCACTCTACCCTAACCATAAATTAACCCTCACCCTAATCCTAAACTAACGAATTAATTTATTGATTTGATTTCATGTTACACCTGATCTTATGAGCGCATATGCGCAAAATAATGTAATTAAATTCCGAAATATAACAAAAAACTAATATCGCGTGAGATTTTTAGAAAACAGCGATTGCTCATCACTTGCCTTAGATCATATGGTATAGCGGTGGTTTAAGAATTGACTTTATCAAAACTTGTCCTAAATCCCATCTATTTGTATTGATTTTTAATCAATCTCACTAAAAATATTATGCATCCGCCTTGTCAAAAGTCAAGTTAGATTTACTAAATATAAAAAAAGCGGATTAACCAAATCAATTTCTTAATCTATTTTTAGCAAGTAAACCTATTTCTAATATATTAGAAGAATCAGAAAGAAAAGATAGCGAACTTGTTCATTATTCCAGAAAGGAAAAGGCCAAAGAAGAAAAGGGGGAAGAAAAAATCAATAGCCTAGAAAAAATTATATCTAAGATGCAAAAAGAGCTAGAAAAAAAAGATAAAGAGTTCACTCGTTATTCTGAAAGAGTAGATCAGCACGAAGAAAAAATTGATAATATAAAAAAAACTATTTCTAATATGCGAGATGAGCAAGAAACGAAAGATAATAATTTGGTTGGTTATCAAATGAAATTAGTTCAAGTGGAATCTCAGCTAAGCGAAACTAAAAAGAAACTTGAAAGAGAAAAAAAGATTAGAGAAATATTAAATAGTTTTTATGATGAACTAATTCAAACTTGTGTTGAAAAGGCACTCTTAAAAAAAGAAATAGAAATATTAGAGAAAGAATCGAAAGAACTTGAACATAAGCAGGACAAAGATGATGACAGAATTAAAATTTTATCTGATGTTGAACAATTAAAGAATCTTTTAAATGGTAAACAATCAAAAGAAAAATTGATCAGAGACAAAATAGATTTGGTACAAATAGATACTGATGAAGTATCGAATGAATTTTATGAAATTCGTTCTAATAATATTTAATTTTTAGATATTATATTCCAAATTTTTTATTTTTGCTAGTTTTGCTTTCTCATGCAAAAAATTTGTTGTAACTATGTATCTGCCACTTGTGCTGGCAGTTCTTAAAGATTTTTATTATATGTAATATCTTGCTTTCTTTCATTTATGATAGTTGGTATGACTTAAAATTTCACGTCAAATTGATACAAATCAATTTTCAAAAATAACAATAGCCAACCTGATATATTCTTTTGAAGTTATTCATTATCCTTAATTTTCTGTTATTTTTATTATTTTTATTATTTATTTATATATAAAATATGAAATGTTTCCACTTCGAAACAAGAATAACAGTTGTAATTCAATGAATTGATTAATATTTGATCGAACATTTACAGAAAATGAAAAGTCAAGATTACTTACTAACTCTTTCTATACCTAGACCGAAGCTTTCCGATATTAGGATTGAGTCGTTAGGGTGTGCAATACTATAATATATAGATATATAGTTAAAGTGTTAAAGTAATATATAGGGTCTTTGCCTTGAAAATCGAGTTACGGAACATAGTAAATCATATGTCCCATACTTGATTTTCAAGGCAAAGACCCCATATGTCGATCATTATTAGCGGATTTTTTTAATGTCTAAATAAATTTTTGATCTGAGCTATATATTAAAATTACTGATCTGATTTAAATAAATTTTTGACCTGAGTTAAATATTAATTATTTGAATTTTAATTATCTTCATAATAGTCGTATATATATTTATTTACAAAGTTACATTTTTAACCTGCAAATAAAAGCATTCTCTTTAATCTAATAGAGCCATTTTCTTTTTAAAATTGTTAATTTAAATTTTATTTACAATTATTGATATATCAAAAAATTACATATTTTTAAGTCTATTTTTTGAATTATAAAATATTATTATCTAAAAAATCGCTCTATTTGATTGTAGCCCAAGTTAATATATACAATTTAGCTTTTATATTGTTTATATTAATAAAGTTAGTTTGCTAAAAAATGTACATGCCTAAAAATTTCACTTTTTACTATTAGAGTGACATCTAAAAATTATCCGCAGATTCCATAAGCAAAATCCGCAAATAATGATCTACATATTATTCTAACTATATATTTTTTATTATTTAACACCCTTACGTATATGTAGGGTTGAGGGCACGGAAAATCATCACCTGTGGTACGGCATAACACCCTAAATAATCACATGACACTGATTAATAAAACATCACATGTAATTAGTAATTTACATGTGATGAATAACATCACATCCCGTGCCCGTGTGACAATTTGAAATTACACCCCGTGCCCCCAACCCTAAGTATATACCAATCTCAATTTTGTAAAACATGTTTTTACTAAATAAGCATAAGCCGCTTATATTAGCTAATACTATCAACTATTTATAGCAAAAAAATCCCTAAAAAAAGAAATTTACTGTCTCACAAATTTATATAGTCTATTGGTCTTGCACTTGCACTCGCTCTTATGTAGAGATGTGCAGTGCAGTGTAATCGGAAGAATTGCAATTGTCCTTATAAAATTTTCAATAATTTGTTTAAAAATATATTACAACAAACTTCGTTGTTTTTAATTTTAACTTTTTTTCTTTTAGATTTTTTACCATTCAGATTGATTGATAATCATTAAAATTAAAGAGGTTCTACGTACATACAATATTTGTGCTTTGCTAAGCCAATCATTTAGTGCCTAATTTTTTAAAACTCACTTATTTACCGATCTCATGTTTGTGAAACATGGTTTTGCTAAATTTGCTTTTATCACTCAAATTGGATGTAAACTGGTAACATTTATGTGGCTAAGACAGCCATAATTATAATTATAATAAAATAATAATCAAGTTCAACTAACTGTTTTTGTTTGGTTATTATTATTGTTATTTATATACTAATACTGTATACATATTCTGTACAAATTCGTGGCTATCATAAACTAATTATTATAAATTCAATTTCATAATATATAACTGCAGTCTTATTTAAACCTCAATTACACAGAAATTAGTTACAAGTTAAACAATTTTAGATATATGTTGTAGTTATTAAAATAGCATGTGAGTTTGTAACATAATTTTTATAGTAGAAATTACAATAACTTTGATGCATCTAATGCAATATGAATTTTGAGATTTTTTTTTCATCTGTGAGTCTTAAGTATATTTTTAAGTTTACAAAAGATGGATCAGTTTTTGTAAAAAACAGGACTAGATTATAAAAGACTGAGGACCAAATAATTCTCAGTTTTCAGTCTGGAATCATCTGGTTCTGGTTCTGATTATGGTCTAATGGTGACTAACTAGCTCTTAGGACCTGGTGTTGCTTGGGTTCTAGCTTCTAATTTTTTTCTAGTTCTTAGGTTTAAATATTTAAATTAGCTCTTAAAACCCTTTATTGCTTCAATGTAGAGTTCTTGCAAAGTGCATTAGCTAATGCTTTTTCACCTTTGGATCCAAGATTATTTCTATATAAATTTAATGTTGTTAATAGAGATGATGATTAATTACACAATAATTAATTACTCAATCTTATTGTTTAATAAATATAGGAGGAACTATATAGAGGGACGACTGTCTATTTAACTTCACTATAATACCAAAACCTATTTTATAATTCTGAAATCTTAAATCAAACAAATACTATATTCAAATAATTCATTATCAAAATCTTATTATAAACAATAATAGATATTTAAAAATTAATAATACAGAAATAAAATTAGATATTGAAATTTTGTTTTATGAATAGAACACAATTAAAATTAGCAAAAGTTTTTTAATAAAGACAATAAAATATTAATAAAGCAGAATTTCTAATTAAGATAATCTTTAAGAAAATCATAGGTATACAAAATTTCTAATTTTAAAACAAAGAATACTTTATAGTATGATTATAATATATTTTATATACAGTTAATTCATCAATATACAATAAGTTTATATTAAATTAAACTAAGCCACAGTAAATTATTTTACATAAAAAATGATTACAAGAATAAATTTACTAAAAATTCATCTATTGTTATTTGTTATTTTAACTAAAGTAAGAATTTTTAATTTCAACTAATATAGCTTACTATTAAGTAAGGTTCTTATAAAAAAATCAAATCATGAAAGCAATATTTAAAGTTAAAACAAGAATTTGATCTAATACAAAATATAGAAGTAAGTAATACAATAGATGCAAAGATACAACATGCAATAGTTCAATATGCATTCACATTCTTGCTTTGTCTTATATATAATTCAATAACATGTGAATATATGCTATTTAATTTGCTATATAACTCTATACTTAGTGATTTGCATCACTTTGTTTTTGGTATACACTTCATAAAAATTTCAATATCACTTCATTCCTGGTATATACAGAATTTTGTAGACAAATACAATTTATTTTGTTGTATTAGAGGTCTAATTCAAATAAATCTGTTATCTATTAATACTCATTTACTATTGGTATCTGGATAATTTGACAAATATTCAGATAGTTATTCAGATACCAATAGTAAAACAGATATTTGAATAATTTCAGATCTGGATATTCAATAAATAAATAGATAAACAGATAATTGATAGAAACTCTATATTGTATAACACTATAATTTGTAAAACTTTATAAAATTTTCAATATTGTATTTAGTAAAATTCAGTAAAAGAACTTTTTTTAACAATCACTTGTTTCAAATTTTTTACCCAAAGAAAAATAAAAATTTTGTTGAAGATAATGTTGCTTTGTATTCTGATGAGATAGTTTTTGTAGAGGTTAATACCTTTCCTACTCTCTTAACTTCTTTACATATTCAGCATGCAAGCCAAAAGCATTTTGTTACAAGATAACTGGCAAGAGGTGCCCTTGTACAGAAAATTTTAATGGAGATGGTGTTCTGGAGAGGAGGGTCTCCATCAACGAAGTCTCTTAAAAGTCTAACAAAAAAGACAAGAGGAACAACAAAAGTTTTTATTTTTCAACACACTTCTTACAAGTTTTGCAAGTAGTTGCTCTTTACCTTTAAAATTACCTACTACAACTCTCACCATTTTTGAAATTTTTTTTGGATAAAAAGTGGGAATTAGGGTTATAAACTTACAGTAAGTTTTAATTTTTTAATATAAGGTAAGTTATAGTTATATAATTTATATGTAAGTATGTAAGTTAAATAATATATATAATTATTATATAAATATATATAACAAAATATTCAAAATGCAATATATAATTATATTTGACTTTTACTAAAATGCATCTATGGTGTTTAACACCCATATAAATATTATTACAAAAACTAGCTAATTAATTGGTACAAGTTATTCTAAGCGAAAATGCTCAACATCTCTAAAAACTCTTTCCAAATTCTAACTCTAACTCTAAATACTAATACTAATAGTTAGCATTATAACTTACAAACTTACCATACATCATAAATTTTGGATATAACTTACGAGTAACTTACATATAAGGTAAGTATGTAAGTTACAACCTTTACAACCCTAGTGGGAATTTGGCTTACCCCTCCAAAAGATCAACATTGTTTATATTCCAAATCCAGAAAGCTGAGTAGATTACAACTACATGTTTGACAGATATGGTGCTACTAATTTGAACAGGCCCTGGGTTCTAATAGCAGCAGCAGGTGGCTTGAGATACAGGTTCATGGATAGTGGCAGCATCTGGCTTGAGATATGAATTAGGTCAGGCCAAATATTCCAAAGTCAGTCATATGGTCAAAAAGAAATACTAATGCTAAAATGAGGCTTTATAGTAAAAATATACCAATGTTGTATTTGTTATATAATTTTTATACTTGCCTGGCATGGGTTATAATAGTGCACCCTTTTTTTCTTTTTTTTTGTGTTCGTTTTTGTGCTATTTCTTAATAGAGGTAGCTACTATTTCTCACAAGAGAAAGCTTTCTCTTGTTTAGCCTGTTGGGGCTTATCTTTTTGATTTTCTTTTTTTATATTTTCCATTTCTCCCATTTTATTCCTTATTATTTTTCCTTTCTTGTTTTGTTTTTTTTTTGTATATAAACTCCTTTTTTTCTTGATATACATTCTAGTATTGAGAATACAGAACATTATTTTTTTTTGCTCTCAGTAAAGAAAGTAAAAATGAAGAGATAGGCTTTTGGCGAGCTGACAAGATCTTCTAACTTATACGTGGGTAGTGTAACAAGTTACTCTTAGACACACTAGATACAGCTGGGTGATATCGGGCTTGCAATTTTCATACTGTCATTATTTATTCCATCCAAGTTTGTTTAATAAAGTATTGTATTTGAGCTCTAGAAAGACTATCAAAGAGCTAAAAATATATATATATATAGTATTTAGTAGATTTTAATAGTTCATATTGTGTTTCTTATAAATTAGTTATATAATAGATTTTATAAAATATAACT